TCCTGGCCTCTCTTGCAAATAAAAGTGGCAAGGAGACATAAATTGAAGTCACCGGATGGGTTTCAGTAAAACTGCTTTAAGAGAAGTAACCTAGCCGGAAGACAGTGCCTCTGCATGGGTCCCGCTTTTCTGGAGCCTGAAACGTGGATGCTATGGCTGGAGCATCTGGTGTTCGTAAGGACGGTGGAGGGAGAGCCCTGGCCCCTTAGCCGCCCACCTTCGGACGTGCATGCGATGAAAACTGACTTTACCTCGTTTAAGCCATTATGGTTTTGAATATCTGTGTACTAGCAGCTGACCTGAATCCTAAGTGATAGACTTCATTTCATAATTTCCTTTTGCAGGACACTATACCTGACCTTCTTTTAATTTTAAGTCATCCACCATTCAGCTTTCTCCTAGTTTCATCAAAGATGGAGGTCATATTTCTCTTTCTTATATTGAATTATTTTTAAGACAAAAAAAGCAGAATAGCTTTTACCGATCAACTTAAAAACTGAAGCTTTACCTTGCAATCTTATTTCCTGCCTCGTCCCATTACACACCATGAATCATAATACTCAGTATTTCTCTTTAAGCTGTAATTTCCTACTCTCAGCTTCTGCTCATAAATTCCATTCTGAGGAAATCTCTCTCCCCGTGACTGTTCCTAAGTCCAAATCATGCCTGTTCGTTAAGGTTCAACTCACTGAGCACTGCCCTCTAAGGTCTTTCCTGCTCCACCCAACAGGAAGTAATCCCCCCTCACACCACTTCCTCCTGGGCATCTACTTCCTTCACTGGACCCTGTGAGGTGGGGCTGGTGCCTAGTCCTCCACATTCTGTGCAGTGTGTGGCTTTTGACTCTGCACGCAGCTGGCACACGTGAAATGCATTACTGTATGTCAAGACATTTGGTTTTTAGAAATATTATTTGTGCCTATGCCCTGCATATTTCACAAAGGAAATTCTGAGTTTAAGGATCCTTACAAATTCACCCAAAATAGCAACACTGGTCCCAAATTCCATCAGGGCCTTAGAGCAGTTTCACTTGTGGTCACCTGCTAGACACACCCGGGGCCCCAAGGGCCTTACTGATGGCTCAGGTCTGCATGTTGAAATAGCCTGTGGTATTCTGCACAGAGAAGCTTTCTGGTCATATGTAGTAAGCCTTCTTTCGATAAAATTAACTCATTTAAAACTGTTTCTCTGCCATCTTAAAGTCGTGACTCAGACCTCACGAGAGTAATTTTATATTTTTAAAAATATGAGTGCAGGTAAGGGTTGTGCTTATCAAAAACCTTCAAGAACTGAGAACATGATCACTACTTCGTTACCCTCTGATACCTCTAGGTAGAGTATTTTCTTCTCTTGATAAAGGGAGAGATAACATTGTTTGCACGGCATCATAATGAGAAATTTAATGAGAAACAGATCCCCAGTCAATTCTGGCCAGGAAAGCCACAAAGCAAAAGACTGACATGTTGGAGCAAGTGAAAAGCTGAAACTTAGATATAATTTAGGGACATGGTTTTAAAATACAAGAAAGCGATTGGGAGAAAATATTAGCAACACGCGCAACAGTGGCTTACAATTCCTATTGCACAGCGAGTCCTGGAATAATGCCACTTTGTTCAACGTTGCGTCCTCATAACGTGGGTGAGATGCTCCAGGAACTGAGCTTCATTTATACCCAGAAGCCGGGGGTAAACTGGTTTCACTGTATCCATCATTACGCTCAAAGTTGCAGAACCTATCAGCGCTGCTGAGTGAGGACTTACTGCAGTAATAAGGCGCTACTCCAAATCATAAGAAAAAGGACAAAAAGCTTTAGAAAAAAATGGGCAAAGGAATGAACAGGGAAGTCATAGAAGAAAATGTGAAAAATAATCAACTTACTAGGAGTTAGAGAAATGCAAATTAAAACAAAGAATTCCCCCACTCCCCAGCCTTTTTTTTGAGTGGCAGAGAATGGTGTAAAGGTTAAGTAAAAACGTAGACTCTAGAGGAAGACTTCTTGGATTTGAACCACCCTTCTGCCATTTGCTAAGCTGTGTGACCTTGTGCAATTTTTACTAATTTCTGTGTTAGTTTTCTCATCTTCAAAATGAAGTCGTGACAGTGACTACCTCATAGGGTTATTCAGATGATTAGCTGAGTTAGTTTATGTAAGATGCTTAGCACGGTGTTTGGCACAGAGGAAATATTACATGGTTATTATTGCTATTCATCTGTCACATCAATCATATGTGAACACTTGTGTGAAAGACGAAGTGATCTGTTGGCTGGCATGAAAACTGATACAGCTTCCCTGAAGAAGAGTTTGTTAAGTGTGTACTCTACATCTAGTAGTTCCATTTGAGTAATCTGACCTGACCCCACAGGGACAGAAAAGCATCACATATGTTCAGAAATATGCATTGCATCTCTGTTTTGTGTCAAAAAGGGGGAAACAAATATCAATCAAGAAGTATGTATATTACAAGAAACTGTAGCATAGTAAGAAGGCAGTGTTTGAACAAAATGATGTAGTTTACACACACTGGCATACAGAGTTGTCCAAAATATTTACAATAAAAGCAAGTCACAATCCCACCTACAGGAAAACAAGCAAAACACGCACATGTGGGCATTTATGTACAGATTTTTAAAGCAGTTTGAAAATACGCCAATTGTTAATGAGGTTATTCATATGGAAGATGGGGAAGGTGAAGAGGGACTTTCGTTTTTTATCCTGTACTTATATATTGAAACTTGAAAAAAACCAAAGATATGTGCGCATTTTATTGTACAATTTAAAAACTTTAAAAACTTTTTCAGTTTTTAAATTGTACAGTACCAGGTTTACCTAGAGTTTCCAGAGATTTGATACAAGAATAGAAATGTTTGACTACTTAGATTTAGACGCTATCTATCATTTTGGAAGAAATGGCCAGACTTCAGGGATCCATGCAGACGACCCAGGAAAACCAGGGGTCTTCGGAAAATCTTTGGTCACACCAGTAAGGGCGCTAATTCAAAGAACTCTGTTCATTCATATCTTGTACCTTAATTCTATTTATCTGTGTCTTCAGATGATCTGAAGGCAAGAGAAACTATTTTTAAAAATTGTAATACATCTCAAACTCTTGTGAACACATCCCTATACAAGAAGAATCAAGTTTTTGAAAAACTTCTCTACAGAAAACCTCCATGATTCAAATGGATTTTCCGAATAAAGAAGGGTCGGCTAATACTTGAGATTTACTAGTGCCTTTTTATGGTGCTGTATTCGAGACAGGAAAGTACGGCCATTGCTGAGGCGGAACGTCATGGAAGGCACAGCTAATGAACTCAGACCGCTGGCCAGGCACCGGCTACGCGGTAGCAATGTAAGAGACTCGAGAACAGAGTCTTTTGGTAAGCCAACCCAGGAATTCCCGTAGGCTACATGCAGCAAACGGAGAAGAGAGCACTTTGTCTGAGAGTAAGAACGTGATATTCAGTGCAAGTTTAAACACTCACTAAAGTGCACTTCCTATAAAAACCGTCGCCCTGCCTCCCGCGTTTACACGTGATGCCCATTGAACAGGGAGAGTTTCAGCTGCTGCACAACATCCTTGTTCTTAAAAGTCAATATTCTGAAAAAAATGTCTCACTCCATTCTATTACAACTTATTTATAAATTGTTTTGCATTCTTAACAATGAGGAGAGTTGCAGAATAATAGGAACCTAAGGGAAAGACAGAAGAAGAGAAAGATTGGTTTTTAAAAATTACCTTAATATGAAGAGGTATAAAAGAGATGATGAACAACATGGTTAGACTGCAGATTGAATAGACTCGAAAACTTCACAGGGCACCTCTAATGGTTTCCAGGGATAGGAAGAGCAGATAAAGCAGGAGTTTCTTATCAACTGGGTCTGGGAGCAATGGTTTTCATCCATGAAAGAAGAGTAATTCTTCCTGGCAAGTCTATAATCTACCATTACAGAGATTATAATTTGTATTTCTGCAGTTTGTGATGCAGATAACAGAAAAACAATGGATTTACTGAAACAGAGGAAATCCAAGTATAAATAAGAGTATCAAAAATGAAAGGCAGATAAGAGTTCAAGTTCAAGCTCTACTAGCTGCGTGACTTTGGGCAAATCTCTCAATCTCTTTTGCCTCGGTTTCTCATCTGTAAAATGAGAAGAGTAATAGTAGTACCTAGGGTGGTATTACCTGGGAAAATATGGAGAATGCTTGGCACATAGTGGGCACTCAATAAATCTGTGTGATGGTGGTAATATGCCAAGACAGAAAAAACTACTACTTCCTAAATTTTATTTATTAATGATGGAATATGAAGTGTTCTAAATGTGTCCATTCTAGTGCACACTCAGTGATTTTAGAAGGTTGTTATCATTGGTGAGCTGTGTATTTGGGGTTCACTCAAGCTGGTAGTCCCAATTATTGAAATCCAGGCTTCATTTTCATGCATGCCCTCCAGCCATCACCGCAAAGCAACAAGGCCAATGCCATCCGCTGTACACAGACAACCACATGGCAGCGAAGAGCATGTGCTCCGGAGGCAAACTGCCCAAGTTCAAATGCCGTTTTTGCTATTTGTGGAGCTATATCACCTTGCGCAAAATAACCTCTTATACAATTATAAAAGATTAACGTAATATCTTATGGTATTGTTATAAAGATTAACAAATAAGACAATGTGTATAGTGCTCATAAAAATATTAGCTATCATCATCATCATCGTCATCCCTTATAGTCAGAAAAGACATGGTTTCTGGCAACCAGAACTGAATTCTACAGAAATGGCACTGTGCACCCACACGCTCTCCAATATTCTGAGATTCTTAAACAGGCTGGACATTTGAGTCAATACTTTGGACCCTGCCTCCGTCTGAGCAAGACAAAAAAGTAAATTTGTACTGGATATTTCCAATTGTCAATGGTATCCAATTATCAAAGGTAGAGAAGACCAATATCAAAACCCACTGTAAAACCGCTTTTTCTGTTTCAAGCAAGGTCACGTCCTACCTGTCATCCGTATTGCGAAGCGATGGCAGCCGAAAGCTCGTGTTTCTGTCCAGTTTTGACTGGCTTTTGGTCCTCTTGATGGAGCCTTTCAGGCGCTTGCTGAAGAACCCCTGCAAGGAAAAGGCAGAGGTGATGGGAGGGAGAGCCGGGGGGGGGCAGAGCCGGGAGGGAGACCCGCGGCCCATGTGCTCGGCTGCACCACCTTCGCAGACAATACTCAGAGTTTTACAATGAAAACAGGGCCCAGCTTTCAGTTTTTCAATTTGTAAATAAGAGTTGCTTGAAACCACCTGGTAATAAGACCAAAATTATCTTCTTCCATCATAACTGGGATAATTGAACTTTTTGAGAGCACTTCATTTCTTATTTCTTAAATAGTTTTCATACTAGCAATAGTAGAGAAACTAACTGTAATAAGAGATTTTTAAAAAACATAACAATATAAAAAAATATACTCTTTTCTATGAAGATGGTATCAGCAATTTCAATCGAAATAGCATCCAGTAACTTCCTGAACTGAATTAAAAGAAAACAGGGAAAGAGAATAGCATGTACAAAGGCCCCGGGATTAGAAGGTACTTGGTGCATCGGAGGAATAAAAAAAAGTTATCAGGGCCCTGGCTGGTGTAGCTCAATGGACTGAGCGCAGGCCTGCGAACCAAAGGATCTCGGTTCAGTTCCCAGTCAGGGCACAGGCCTGGGTTGCAGGCCAATTCCCAGCAAGGGACCCACGAGAGGCAACCATACATTGCTATTTCTCTCCCTCTCTCCTTCCCTTCCCCTCTAAAGATAAATAAATTAAAATTTTTAAAAAGTTATCAGTGCAGAGTAATATGTCACTGGTCTCAAAAGTGTTAACATCAGGTATGATATTTGTAAGGTTAAGTTTTGAACGTAGATGAACTATTTTACAATGAAATAAGAATCATTTAGGAAACCATGGAAACACCTAAACTTCAGAAGAATTAAGTCCTTTACAGTTTCTGGCCCCTGCTTGTCTCCTGCTACTTTCCACCAAACTATCCAGAGCTCCTTGAATATCTTCTTGGTCTTACTGCCTGGCAAATAACGGGCTTTCAAGGTAAGTTGATTGAATAAAAGAATAAATGCAAGAATGAATGACGATGATCACTGCTTTCAAGGGAAAACATTCTATTGTTGGCAGGTGAAAGGACATATTATAAAAGTATGTCAAAATGCCTTGAGAAAATGTTGTAATTCAAAGAAAAGTATTTTGACATGCAGAAATTAACACCATGAGGTGATTATCTTATAAAAGCTGTGTCTAGTAAATCTTTCCATAAGGAAAAAAAAACGGGGCCAGGATCAGCATGTCCAATCTCCCATGTTCTGTTAGTTACCGCCATACCCACCACTCTGGGGCGAGGACCATAGTAATCAGGGTAAGCTAGGTTATGCTTATCTAATGACCCCGTAATCTCAGTGGCCATAAACAGCCACGTCTGCAAGTGGGTCAGTTAAGGAAGCTGGGGGCCCAGCCTTCTGCTGCCCCCATACAGGGGATTTGGCTCAAGGAGGCTCCATCCATGTGCTTCTGGAGTTGCTGCAGCAGGTAAAGGAAATGGGACAAACTGGGGACCAGCTCTTAGACCTCCATGTCTCATTTCATTGGACAAACGGTCACACGGCCACATCCAATTTTATTAGGGACGGGATGTATAACCCTACCGTGTATCGGAGAGAGAACTGGAAATATCTAGTGGACTACTACAGTGCTTTTCCATGCCAAGTGTTTTGCAAACACACAGGCATTGCTCCTTGCATTGTAAAAAATAGAAACAAACTTATTTAAATCAGAACTAGAACTATTTTGTTGACTAAAAAAATGTTTATGCTCTTTCTTGTTGTTCTTCTACCCCAAAGAATAATGTCCCATAGACAAGTGCCCTAGGCTGGCTTTTTATTCGGGTTCAGAGGCTGACGGGCGGGAAGAGGACGGGGTTGTTTATTAAAGAGCCACGTTTCTCGGGGATGGGCCTCTGTCCAGTCTCCCATACAACTGCCATGTCCTTAGGGAAAGTCACAGTTGCCTGTTCTCCGAGGCAAAGGCTTGCTGTTCACGACTTCCTCCGACTCAACAAGGACAAATCTCCTCACCTGCTCAGACCTGGGTTTACAGATTCTACCAGGACCTGCCTGTGGTTGGTTCAACAAACCACTGGCCTAAGCTGAGATCCAGCCACCGGCCTGACCAAATACTGTGGATAAAAACACCCCGACAAAAACACGGGAAGCAGTTAACTGAGGATGTACTTGTAGATGCTCACTCACGCAGCACTTTAACCCGACCCCTTGTGGCCCCTAGAGCATGCATCACCTTGCAACCTATTTAAAATACATATTTATTTTATGTCTATTTGTTGCAAAGCACTGCACCAGGGCATGTAAAAAACTCCTAGATAAAACAAACCTCTACCTTCAAGCAGCTTACATAACATGGGATCTGGAAATGAAATATGAATACGTGGCACAATATAAGTATGTGGCACAGTTAGGAAGGTGCATGTTCCTAGTGCCCGGCATTTTTAAGCACAAAAGTCATCCTATTTCTTTGACTCTAGCACAACAGCAACCGCCACACCGTTATATCGTGTATGCTAAGGAAAAAGCCGCCAACTGGACTCCAACACAATGCTTTACCACCTGGACCTTTTACTTCCGATCACAGACGTCCTTCAAACACCGGTTCAGGCAGGCTTTGTCACATGCCACATGGCATCTACATAAGAACACACGCAATGTGAATTGGCTGAGGGATTCCTAAGGCTTCCCCGTTCTCCGAACTGCTTTTTCACTCAGAGTTGCTCCTGTTTCTAAGATGATCGACCCCCCATATCCTTTTCAGAATTTCGATGATGGAACACATCTTTCAAGAAGAATCTACATATGAAGATGCTGAAAGTGAAATGTGCACCTTAGAGTGGCGAAACATGGGTCTGTTTCAGGGAGGCACGCCGGAAATGGCGCTGGGGATGAGGGTAAGAAGAGGTCGCTTCACTTGGAGAAGAAGGGGAAGCCACAGGGGAGGTCCGAAGGGCAGACGGACGGGGTTTGGGGCCCGGGTGCCGAGGGGCAGAGTGAGGCAGGGTGTGCAGGTGAGAAGCCACTGAGCACACAGTAAGGAGATCTAGTCTGGCTGGGATATGGTTAGGAACACCTACAATGAGATTAGAAAGGCAGTTTATCCAGCTATTAGTGTATAATTATGGTCCCACTGGTCCTTAAACTTGTGAGTATAAGGCTCTATATCTATCTCAATATCTACCAGAGTGTTTAAAGCCTAGTTGGTGCTCAATAAGTATCTGATTAACTATGTACACGAAATTATGGTTGTTTTGGCAACACAGATAAAGGACAGTTTCAGATAGCCTGGGGACAGTTCACAGAGGCACACAGTAGAACACGCTGTACGAAACTCTGTTTTTCTTCTTGATACGAGTGAAACCTGGCTTTCTCCTGAGAATGCAGTTTAGCTCAGAGCCCCTCCTGAGAGAAGATTTCCACTGTCCCCTGCCCAATATTCAGCGGTACCCAGGCCGAGGTGCTGGGATTTTCCAAGCTCACCATGACAGCGTCCAAACCTTTATTCCAAAAAGTAATTTTATTCCATAAAACACTGGTTTGGAATGAAGCAAATTCTTTGCAGTCCATACCATCTTGATCTGGCACCCTTTACTGTTCTTTGCTGCTCTCATGCATTAGTCTCTCCTTCACCTTCTTTATTCATTCAGGACTTTAGGCCCTAGTCTGTCTCTTTGCCGTATTCTGTCTCTTCACTGCTAACCCCATACTCATAAGTTAACCAGACAGGGATCCATCTCATACCCCAGCCTCGAAATTCCCTGACCAAAATCAGTGTCCTCCTCTCCTGCTACCCACTCCTAGGACCACACCCTAGACAGTAACATCACTCAGGTACCCCACCTTAGACATCTTAAGCAGGAAGACTCTGCTTTCTGACTGTCCTTCCTGACCACACAGCCCTTCCTCCCAATACATCTGCTCCTCAACCTCCCAGAAACCCCAGTCTCTTGGCCGCCCGTCTTCTCCCTGTAGATGATTTCTTCTCTATCCAACCTGGACTTCACGGTCAATCACCTGAAGCTCTTTTATCACCAATGACCTCCATTCTCTTAGCGATCAACTCCCCCAAATCAAAGCTGGATCCGTGTTTAAATTCTCATCCCATGACCAAGCTGTGGAAGACGACCACCTAGGGCAACACTTTGATGCTACTAAAAATTCACTGCCTCAAGCTAGGCCCGGCTCCTACTGTGCCTCTGTCCTGGACCACACGTGCACTGAGCCCCGTGGCAACGATACACGCTCTGGGAAAGCTCAGAGCAGAAGGCATGCCCATTTGCCCTTTGCCTCCTTCTGAGCAACCCCAAAAGCACAGGTCGCTCACTATGCTTCATACCACGCCATTCTTCTGACTACAGTTCACTGGGCCGGGGTAGAAAATTGACGCAAAGCCACTTACAAGAGTGGCCCTGGTAAGAGTTCTGCCTGTAGGATAGGGTTTCCGCTGGAGGCTGCTAACTCCGCCAGCCTGATTCCTGGCCGCCCCCGGCTTCATGCTGTCCACGCCAGCACCTCTACAAGCCCCTGGTCCTCTGCACTGGCCAGGCATCTCTGCTGTCGCTCACACTCCCTCCCTTGCCCCTGGCCAAGTCAGACTCGGCTCAGGGGTGATCTCCGGTGTGCCCCTTTCGACATGTCCTGACCCTGCTGCAGATTAGGGGCTCCTCTTCTGTTTCCAAATATCTATAAATAGCGCCAGCCTTACATTTAGCACCCTGCATGCCTATTCATTTGCCAAGAGTTTCCCTACTAAACTCTGAACTCCCTGGGGCAGGGGTTAGACAGTCTCTGTGTTCCCAGCGGGTCTGGGATCCGGCACTTAGGAGCAGCTCCATAAATACCTGTGGAACTGAAACAAAACAGGCAGTGGAGTGAACGAAAGCCACCCTGGTGTTTCTGCTGCAGCTGCCGTCATAGGAGGGGCAGGGAGCGCTGCAGCAGACGGTACGGCTCCAAGTCCTGGCCCCAACGTCTCGGGGTTGAATGGCCTCGGACAAGTCACAGC